GTTTATACGATTTGTTGGATTTGCTGCTCATGAAGTTGTTAAACAGATTGTCGGTGTAGATACCTTCATCATTCTCTTCATGTCTGACGACCCGCGTCTGCCTTACTCCCTCTCTCTCTCTCTCTCACAGCTACCCATCCATCGCAGTCGGGCAAGTCATACAGCCAATTCACTTCTGTCTCATTCGCTCCCTTTCAAACTCTGTCTACATGGGTGTGTGATGGCCAGTGCCTGTGTGCGTGTGCTTGTGCGATTAGTTTTATGTAATTTTATCGAGTATTTTAAGGATTTTGCGGCTTATCCGCGCTTCATTTGGAAATTGTTTCGTGTTACTTATGTCGCCCCGTTTTGCTTTAAACGGAAGGGCACATGCATAAAGCAAGAAGGGTAAGACATAAATAAGAATAAGGGCATGTAAAAGGAGACCGCTTGCCCTTTCATAGCTGTCGGCTCTTGTTGTTCTTGTTGTTGTTACTGTTAGGCCCTTTTCAAGTGTTTATGGCGCTGTCGTCATTGTTTGTTGTTGTATGGCAACGAGTGTCAGAGAATTTGTGCCTGGCATAATATAAGTGAACGTTTTGCATGTGTAGTTACCACTCTGTCTCCTCTCTCTCTCTCTCTCTCTCTCTCTGCCTCTTACTCTCTCTTATTTATCTAACGCTCTCACAGTAACTAGCTGCCTTTGTGTATAATCGAATTACACACAATGAGAAAGATTTATGGGAATTCATTGTTGATATTGTTAATTTTTTTTAAACACGTTTATACATTATATTCCCATTGGTTCATTGATTTTACACCGATTAACCCGCGCTTAATTATTTGACTTTAGATATGTATGTGTGTATCTGCATATATTTATATATAGATTTAATAGGTGCTTTGTGTGTTAATTATCTTATCGCTAATGGAGTAGAACGCAGCTGGAATTGTTTCCACATACAAGAGAGCAGGAGTGAGAGTGACAGAGAAACAGAGAGAGGGAGTGGGAGAGTTAGGAAGGGGAATATCATATTTTATCAATAAGCTTTTTAAGCATTAACTGAACAAGGGATTTGTGAATTATTATTAATGTGTTTTTTGTTTCTGATTTTACATTTTAAACATGTCAGATAAAATGTATATATATACATATACATATATATATATATATATATATATATATATATATATATCTATTCATATAATAAAACTGTCGCATATATCTCTTAATCTTATTTAATGTATGGTCTTTGTTTATAATTTTTCATGAATTTTCATTATAGCATTATAAAATTATTTTAAGAAATCATTAAATACGTAAAGCAAGCAAGCATTACCAATATATCTAATTATTGCTCTTCTTTATATACTAAATTTTAAATTATATTGTTCCTTTCAACTACCTAGAAACTCATTCATTTCTAGTTTGAAATTTTTTTCTAAAATGATCTAATACGGTATAGCTTGGACATATACATATTTATATACATCTGTGTGGGTGTTTTGCCGGCACATTTTATAATCAGGGGCAATAAATCGACACTCGAGTCCAAGTGTCTTGCTTTTTCAATCAGATAAGCAGTAATTATAAATTAAAAGCACCAGCAAACAGATTAATAAAACGTAAACTTTAACAGCGCATTATAAATAAGCCAAAATGACTAATAATAAAATATAAAATGAAATCGACATCAAAGGCCGTCTCCAGCCCTTTCCCCCTACAACCTGATTATCATCCATCTAGCCAAAAAAAAAAAGCAACAGCAACGACATCAGTGGGTGTGGGCGTGGGCGCTTTCATTTTGTTGCTTTTGTTGTTGTTGGGTCATGAGTTTCCGCTCGTGGCATTAGCGCGCTTCAAGTTCGCTTTTGTTTTTATTAAATGCATTATTAGCACGTTATTTATTAATTAAACACTTCACGTTTTTATTCCCTCCTAATCGGGCAGTCTCTCCCCTTCTCTCTCTTTCTCACTAGCCCACTCGCCCACCAGTCCACGACCCAGCGAGGACCTGCCCACTTGCTCGTTAGCTAAAAGAGATAAGCTGAAGCATTTGCGTTCATGGAAATAAGCCAGTGAACAATTGCTCGATAAGCGGGAAAGTTGAGAGCAATTTCATCGGAAGTATAGTCAAAGAACTTGGATAAGTTTCCAAGAATTTCAAATTATTATAAATATAGTTGTTAATAGAGACTAACAACTATTTCTATTCTATACTTAATGTTTACGGAGTTCGTAACTTATTTAAAATTATGATTCCCTTTAATGAGCCTCTCATCCGTAGTTGAGTGTTATTGAATGCTCGTTAAATAAATAGATTTGTTTGCATTTTAATTATGGTTAACACCAAGTTATCGACCACTCGGCAATTAATCAGCGAACGGCGCGCAAACCTAATTGACAGCTTGTAGATGTTACGCTCTGACAGCTCGGCGACGACGACGATTGAGGCAACGGAACATGCAACAACAACAACTCGAATATGAACTGGAATCACAGTTGCGTGAACTTGAACTACTGACTCAGTGAACGGCTTTGCGTTCTGCTAGCTATGATAATTGGCCTTAAGTTCAAATAAACTAAATATGAATATGATCAAAATATCAAAATAAAATACAGTAAACACTGCTCATAACTAACGGACTAGCATAATAGCACATAGCTACACACTTTATCGAAAATTTGTTTTATTCAGAAAATGGAATATTTTCTTTTATAGATCTCAGTTCTGGATACCCTATTACAGCTAATGATTCAAAAAGAAACAATGCGGGGTATCACTTTACAAATTCCATTTTCTAGTTTATAATAAACTTGTATTGAATATGAGCGCCTTTATCTTTCTCTCTCTCTCTCTCTCTCTTTCTGTGTTTCTATGTGTGCTGGGGCACTTGAAGCACTTTGCCTAATTAGTTTATGATGCAGTGAGTGAGCCTGGCAATTTGCTTGTCTATCACAGCAGGCCATAGCGCCTCCCCTAATACCCTACACGCACACACACATATACACATACGTATATAGTTCAATAGTTTTGGCCATGAAGCGAAAAATAGAGTTGGGACCCCCTGGAAGATGACACATGAGCCGGCGGCAAATACAATATTACTGCGTGTGTGCGTATATGTGTTAAGCAAACAAATAACAATAATTAAATATATGCCTAGTTCAACAGCTGTTCGTGGCGGGCAACTCACCATGAATCCAGTGTAGATGTGTGTGTGCGTTTGTCCGTGTGCTCCAGCAAGCAGCTCGAACTCGAACTCGAAACCTGGTGGCTTTGGCTCCCACTTGGCACGCTAACGGTAACGTTCCCGATTGCTGCGGCGTGCGAGCGAGCGAGCAGGAAGTGTATATAGATATCTAGTGATGATGCTGTTGCTCCTGTGGCTGTTACTTTGGCAGGGGACAGGCAGCCGGAAATGTAGATTTTGGTTAATTTGCACTGGCACAGCTGGAAACGAAGAAATGACGTAGGTGAGAGACGAGCTGATGATTATGATTAAGCAGAAGAAGAGGACTGGACTGAAGTGAAGTTGCAGAGTGCAGAAGAAAAAGAGCATACAATGCAAAATTATAAAACAAGAGAATTGCTACCGAGCTTAGCCAACTGCCCAATACTCTGTAGAACGAAAAGTGTGCCAAAGTAATATTGGAATTTATGTATGTTTTATCTTTATGGTTTAGTTTCTTAGATTTTCGACATTTTCAATTTTCGCATATAGCACAACACCAATATGCCCATTTTACAGTTTATGTGCAGTGTATAAAAAAGGCGCGAGCCACACAACAACAACAAATTTTTTAGCCAACGTCAGCGAAAAAGCAACAAAGCAAAGTTTAAGCAACGGCAGCGCGCGGGCAGCGGGTGGGCGTTCAGCTTGTCATATGAAGGGTGGTCACAGCAGCAGCAGCAGCTGCGTTGGTGGTGGGTGACGCCGCCGTCGCCGTTGCTGCTGCTGCGCTTTGTGATTCCTTTTCAGCACAAAATTTGTTGAGCCTTTGAGTCGTCGTCGTCGTCGTCGCCGTCTTCTTCGTTGTATTGTTCTACCCCAAAAAAGTCCATAATAGAAACATCCCCTCCTCCACAAGCCAACGTCGTCGTCGTCGCCGTCGTCATCATCATCGTCGTCTGCCTCCGCCTTTGCCCGCTTTGGCTTTTTCACTTTACTTTGTGTGCAAACACAGTTGCAGCGCCGACGCCAACTAAAAAGACGTCGACAGAGACTGCGACTTCGACAGCGACGCGTTTCATACGTTTTTCACAAATAAATTTTAATGATTTCTACGCTGCGCATTACGACGACGACTAAGACGTCGACGTCGACTACGACTGTGACTGCGAATCGGACGACGCTTCAAATGAAATTAGTGACACACTTAAATAATAATTAATTTTTGCACACTTGTTGTAGTTGTTGCTTACATTTAGAGACTCGAAAAGTTTCTGTCTTAGCTGTTGTTGTTGTGTGTGCGCGTTTAAAGTTGTCAGTGGGGGCTAACAATACGTTTTTTAATACTCTTCTGTTTTGTCTTCTTCTTTTTTGCATACACTTTGCGCACACACACACACGCAATCGCTCGCCATACACATGCACAAGCACTTACACGCGCATACAAACATACACACTCATTTACACACACTCACGCACTTCGCTTGCTTTGCGTTTTTTTTTATTGCTGCGGAGATTTTGGGCACAATTTTCGCTGACTTTGAAACGCAATTTGTGTACACTTTCACACGCGTATTGCAGCGACACTGGCACGTGAAAGTTTTGCACTATAATTTGACTAAATAATATTAGCACAAATGCGTGTTTTTTTTAGTTCTTAATGGTACAACAAAATTTCTCCGCGTATAGCAGAAGCCACCATTTTGCGACTCTCGATGAACAACAAGCAATGCAACACTGTACAGGGTTGCAAGTCTGGCAGCACCGTCCATTCGATAGTCACCGATAAAATACCAGCGAACGATGTATACTTAATATCGATACATTTTGTGCTCAAGATATTTGTGTTCACTGACTAGCTGGTCACACTTGCTTTAGTGTGTTCTATTGTTTAGCGTCGTTCGCGTCTCTCTGTGGCACGCCAATTAAATAACAATTGCTGAGCAAATTAAAAGACATAGACGTAAATTAAACTTTTGTGTGTGAAACTACACTTTATTTTTTATTTAACAATCAACGCCTTGCATTTAAACACTGTAATCTGCTACGATGTCCGAGTGCGCCAGCGAAGTAGCCGAACCGCAATCAGGTAAGCAGAAAGAAATTGTTTTTGTTTACCTTCGCTTGGCCGTCTCAATTTGCATGCGAAAATTGAGCGGTCAAAGCGGCCGGCAATAATGTAAAGTCGTATTAGAATTCAATAATGACAGCAGCTTTGTGTAGGTGTGCATCCGTGATAATTTCCGCACGTGTGTATGTGTGTGTGTGCGTGTTGCTTGTTATGCATGGGACGCCAGCACCTACCGCCCACTATGCGGTTGCCTTGACAGTTTTTCTATTGTTGTTGCTGTTATGTATTGAGATTTGCGTAAAATACTAAATCAAAATATCGACAGTTTACACACTTTTAACATTTGCTGTTGTTGTTCGTCTTCCGTTTGGCCTTGTCTTGTCTTGTCTTGTTTCGCTTTTACCGCCATATTAAATATAACATTTTTATAATGCTTCTTCATGGTCACACTTAAGCCAATTTTCAATGCGAGCTGCACTTAGTTCCTGATTTTAAAGCTTGTACATATGTATGTATGTATGTGTGTGTTTCGGTTGGGTTTTCCAACTCATTTACACAAGTTTGGTCACATTTTTCTCTTCCTTATCACAACTGTCTGCTTATCAATTTGTTGAAAGCTCCTAAGCGCTTGGCAAACACTTAATAAAAAAAAAAATAGTATAATAATAGAAAAATAAAAAAAACCAACGTGTAGAAAATTAAAAAGAATAATGTTGTGCATTTGACATAGAGTTTAATTTAATATAAATGAGTTTTATTGACAGCAGAGAGAATAGAGAATTAAATTATTTTTTTATATTGAATTGAAATATTTGCAATTGCTTTTGCGCGTGACTTCAACCGGTTCCGTATAAGGTACATAACTATAGTTGTTATTGTTAAGGTAATTACTTTCATGAGAAGCTTTACCTGACCAACTACTAGCTTGAGTTGAAATTGTAAATATGCATAAATACATATGTATATGCATGCAAAGGTGTGTGAATCACAGAATTTATTCAATTTGTAACTAGACTTGAGCTTTTGCCAAGTCTAAATACTAGTTCATTAATGATTCATAAGGTAAATACTTATATAGTTACCTGAAGGAGTTAAATAGGTACATGTGTAGTGGAGAGAAGCATCACACGAGTAGAGTAAATACAGTAGAAACTGATTTATGTTTGTTTCAAATTTTGATGTTTAAAATAAGAGAAAAATTTAAGCTTTTCGATTTCAGTTTATTATTTATATTATATTTATTATTTGTTTATTTATATGTAGATGAAGTTGCAAATTATATAAAAATGCATATAGAAAATTGTTTAATTTAGTCAAAAATTAATGTGTCTTCTCTTTAGGAGCTGCACTGTACTAGATTTCTTATCAGCATTGATATACAATTAGATTTTAAGCTAAGCTAAGCTGACAGTCCATTTGCTTGCGCTTTACATTGGAGACTCAGAAGGTCTTAAGAATTATCGATAACTTTTATGAATTCAAAGTTGATGTATATCGATTAAGAGTGAATAATATCTAAGCATATCTAGCAAACTCTAAGCACGAACTTTGCCTTTAGGTTAAACAAATAGCGACGCTTTTTACACTACACCAAAATAAAAACATAATTTCAATAGATAAAGCCCCGATTTTCTTTATAGAAACATGTTAATAGCTATTTGAAGTCTTGAAGAAAGAGTTGCATAAAAGTTGTTCTTAATCACAGCTTTTATTACAGAGCATCTGGTAGTCGTGTTTGGCTTACTTGAACAGTTTTTTGTGCTTAGAAATGTCTCCACAGATTGGCTGATTCAATTTCGAATTCGTTTTCTTTTTCTATTTTCAGTTTGCTAATTTATGGCAGTAATGAATTGCGGCCCATAAAGAACAGCTGAAATCACCTACACACACACACACACATAGACATGCATGCATGCATGTCTAGTTGGAAACATGATCCAAGTCAATTATCGCCTCGATTTGCCACCTGGGCCACCCCATCGAGGCGCCTTACAAGTTGCCTTTTTAATTAAATTGCACAAAGCGCGGTCTGTCAACAAATGTTTTATTGTTGCACAAACGCGCGCACTCATGCATGCAAGCACACACACACACACACACACACGCTTGCCATATGTCATATGTCGTATGCCGTTTGCATACATATTTGCATGCAACGGCAATAGTTTGCTGTCTATTAATAGGTGTTATTGTTGTTGTTGCTATTGCAAATGCCGCTCGAGAGCTTCCCTCATAGGCATACACTGACAGAAATTGCTAGCAAGTCTATAGGGGAAGCCCTGGCATAGAAGTTTCTTTAACAGTTTAAAAAAATTCAACTGAATTCTAAAAACTAAAACAAATGTTAGATGAACCAGCATTTGTTGCAGTGTAATCATGCAACAGCGGGATGCTGGCATGTTCCTGTGCAGCCTTGCAGTTTTGATTGACAGGTGTACCGCGACACCTTGACAATTGTTTTGATATGGAAAAACGTAAACACAAACACACAACTTGCATACGTTATGCAGCTCTGGCCCCCATCGAGGGGCGGTTGGTAGAGAGAGACGTTGCGAAGGGCACGTCGTACCCCCCTCCCCCCCACACACACACCTACAAATATTTGGATGCCTATTTATATGCCGTCGCCGCTGTTGCCCAACTTCCCGATTGCCCAGTCCAAATGACATCACAAACAGCTCAGAGCAGAGCAAAGTAGAGCAGCCCAAAGAGACGCACAAGTTGACACGAAATTGTGCCACACATTGAACAATATCAATTATTAAATAATATATAAAATATATATAGCTTCGAGTACAGTAAAATCTGGCTAAGAGGCATTGATGAGCGGAGAGTGTACTTAGAGTACTTCAAGTTAAAGTGGAAGTTTGTGGCTTGAACACTTGATGAGTTTGTTTTGATTATCTGAGTGCTAACTTGATTATTTGATTGACCTATTTGTTGATTGACACTGATTGGCGACTGATTGACTGGCTAATATTTTGATTAAGTGATTGACCGGTCAATTGTGGATTGCTATTCAACTGATTGTTAAACTACTGGTTGACTGACTGATTGATTGACTATATAGTTGTTTGATTGCAGACTGATTGACTGATTGCCTAGTTGTTTTTATTAGCTAACAGATTGATTTATTGACTGCCTGCAATTGGTTGCTCAGCCAACAAATTGATTAGTTATTTGAGTGCTGACTCTTGATTGATGGCAGACTGACTAGCTAAATATTTGAATGGTTGCTTGACTGACTGTGGGCCGATTGACTGATTCACAGACAAGGCGAGTGTTGTTAGAGTGTTCACTGATTGATTAACTGATTAACTGATTGATTGATTGACTGAGTAATTGCTTTACAGATAATTGATTGATTGATTGACTGAGTAATAACTTAACAGATAACTGCTTGATGAATTAACTAATTGTTTAACTGATAAAATGACTGATGGACTGTCTGTTAGCTGGCTGACTGACTGATTGATTGAGTGACTGACTCATTACTAAACAGACCGACTGACTGACTGATTGATTAGCTCTAATTACGTGTGATTGTTGACTGATGCATTTGATTGATGCACTGCCTAACCGAAATCAATGCCTCTGAGACACTGATTGACAGGCTGATTGACTGTAGATCACTACACAACGCAAACCTCATAAGTCTAGAAATGAACCCATGTACAGTAGTCACTCAATGTGACAGCTGCACGGCTATGTTATTGTCCTACTCCTAAGTCAATTGTGCAGACAATTGAATTGTCGTCAATGGATGTTATATAACATTTGCTAATATATAATTGATGTAAAAACGCATTCAAAGCGTGCTGAATTGTAAATTTACAAATTTCTAAGTTAATTTACAATGTTCTTAGCGAGCCACAGAAATGATACGTGCCCAAGTGCTTTGGGAATCTCTCAGCAGCGACTGAATAACATGTGACTCTGGCGCTACATGAGAAAGCTAAACTGTTCGTACGTCAAAGTTTTTGGGCACTGGCAACCGTCGAGCGGAACGAACGTCACTGGTAAGCGGAGAACTTTTGAAAAGGTTTTCACTGTGGACCGCTGCCTGCGCCCCTTGGGATGTTAATTAAGCCGGCTCCGCAAACAAGCCAATTGAATAACTTTTTTCATCGCCGTATGAACAGAGTAAACGTTCATCAATTGCGATCGACTGACAATCATTAAACTGGCTAGAGATTGGCGGGGCTGTGGTCCAAATCAGAACCCAAAATGTACTGAGAAAGGGGGGGAAAGGTCTATCAACCCGCCCCTCCCACTCCCTCTCTCTCTGACTCTCATTTTTGATTTGATCTCTGCATAGAGCTTGACTTTTCTATTGAAGCAAAGAATTTATGCAAACAAGCCTCAATGAAGGCACTGTTCGTGCTTCAATATTGATTCGCTTTTAAGCAGATTTAGCCGGATTAATGTAAATGGAAAGAAAACGAGCAACAAGAAGAAGCAGAGCTTCTTTTCATAGGAAAAAGTTGAGCGCGTTCAATTTTACATTAGGCAGGCAGAAAATACTCGCTGAGTGGCTTTTCCTGTAAATAATTTCAATTAAAGTCGCATTAAATGCGAATAAATTTCAATCTGTCGCATATACAGACCATATATATATATATATATATATATATATATATATTTATGTATTGTCTTTGCTGAGCGGGCGATCGGCCAAAAAGCAAAGAAAACAAATTTTTGTTCTGCGTTGAGACATTCCTCATTTTGTGGCATAGCACGGCAAAATATGAATATCCGTTTATATAGAAAAGCAAAATAAATATATATATATATTATTTATATATACTTATGGTAAATATATCAACAGCAGTTGGGTTCATGCGCAGCGCTTATCATGACAAATAAAACCATGAGGTGCAAACGCAAAGCATCAGCTAAAAATTTATTTGTATAAAAAAGCAAAAAAAATGTATAGAACTTTAAATTAAAACAAATGAAAAGATAAATGCAAGCAAAAAATATAGTAATTATATAAATGCTACAACTGTTTTATAGTCATGAAATTACAGTTTAAAATCAGGCAGAAATTATTTTGCTTGAGACAAAAATTTCATTGAAGAAAACTTTTAGTCATATAAATGATATATATGGAATGTATAGATATAGTATATATATATGATATAGAATAATTGCCTTATTATAATAATAATATATATAGCACGTAAAGTTTAGTTTGAGTAAATAAATAAAATACCCTGGCATTTAGATAGGCATACAAAGAGTATATTGGTTTCGTATTCACTGAAATCATAAATGTGTGTGTCTTCTTGTGGGCGTGGCAACTCCCATAACAAACAGTGTCTATAAATCTGCAGCTAGAAAAATTTCACATGAATTTCTGCTATGTATAAATTATATATTTATAATATTTATATTTATAATATTTATTATTTATTTTATAATAATATTTATTATTTATTTTAGACACAGTTTGAATTGATTAATGAAACATTTCAATCGACTTCTAATGTAGACAGTTCTATGACAAGCATTACTAAAGTTCTAGATTACTTTTCGTTGCTTTATCAGCCTGACTAATGATACTGCTGAAGACAATGTATATTTTATGAGCCTTTCCCAGGCAATTCACGATAAATGTATATTGAAATGTAGTTCATGATAAATGCTTTTCAGTACTTTCTGCCCTTTCTATACTCTACTTTAATCTATATTGTCTGTTAAACACAGTTTACTCGAACTAGTCTCAATCAACTTTAGTCATATAAACAATTGTTGTTGCAAGAAATGTTAAAAATATATTTCTACAATTAGCTGCAAGCGCTAGGCCGGCCCATAGAATTTCGTTTTATTTGTTCATTGGTCTCTAGACATTTTTTCGTGTCGCATTTATTTATAGCAAAAAGCCATGAAAATTGGTTGCTTGGACTACGTCAACCTATCGATGCCGCAGATCTAGAGCAGATTGTGAATGAATCGTTCCACGTTCTATTTCAATATTTGCATAATACTCGAAGTTCAAACGGAAGAAAAAAACGAACGAAAAATGTGGCTAATTCAATTGCAAAGGCGAAGCACGCCTCTAAATGATTAGCGTGCCATAAAAAGCTTTGCTAATTTTTGATGGCAATTAAATGGTATTATTAAACATGTATATAAATATATATATACATATATATTTTTATATATATAAACAGATATATATGCTTTTGATTTCGAGCTGACTTGACTTCCGGAAAACTATAGAAACAATTTATTTTTGCTTTATTTTTTGTCAATAAATTTCGACTTAAACAATTGACAAACGACTAAGAGTGAGTGTGCTCGACTCGAGCATACCCTATACTTAGAAAAAAAGCCGCCTGCACTTAGACTTGACTAGTATAGTGTAACTAGCACTGCTATCTATACTGCAAATAAACTGCTCGACTAGTAGTTAGCCTATACTTATAAGAAATTCCTATTTTAATCATTCAATGTTCCAAGTGTTTAGCTATACATTTACCATATATACAACAAATAAGGGTGCTTTAGCAGGCAGTGCTCGCCTTGCAGCTTTTGTGGTTTTGTTGTTGAGTTCAACAAAATAAATCGATTATTATCGATATGCTTCTAAACTGCATGCATTAAGCCTGAACTACGTACGTCTTAAGAATATATATTGCAAATTTCAAGTTTCTTCAAGTTTTGTAGCTTAGAAAAACAGATGAATGGGCATAGCTTGAATAATTCAACTTGATGTCTTGATCAGGAATATATATATATATATATATATATTTATATATATATATATATAATCTGTTAGGTTTTCGCCTGTTACAAACAGTTGCCCAAAGCAGCATACCCTTTTAAAGCACTCTTAATGGCTGCAGAGTATATAAAACAAGCACAAATCACATCAATAGGAACATAGCTTCCTGCTTATGTATAAGACATAAATCTATTATATATATATATATATATATATATATATAGTGTACTTTATAGGATTTGCCTTTGCCGTGTCTTCGATTTCGATTTATGTTTGTTTTAGGGAATTAAATTACATTAGAGACTTTTTTTGGATGGCTCAAGTTTTGGTCCCCGCTGACCCAATTTTAATGCAATTTAAGCCCTCGTCGTTGCGCGAGTAAATGAATCGCAACAATCCGGAAGAGTTCGTTGGCAGCCAAGCCCCCCTCGACCTGGCAACCTTCGGCAAATGCTAACGCGTTTAATTGCACGCTTACACGCAATTTCCTCGGCGTCAACAACATCATCATCAGCTTCACCTTGAGCAGCATTGGCAACTTGATCATCGCCTTTTGTCTGCCGTCTTCATTGTGGAAGTTTACTTAATTGCCCAACCGCCGAGATGTTTACTTTGTTTGTTTGCTCCGCTTCTCGTTTGTTTATTTATTTATCTATATGGGCGCAGGCCGCATAAGTACGACTGGATATTAGAGAGCACCAGACACCTGCCCATACACCTGATTTCTGGGCACAATTTCTAAATAATTATGTTTGCCCGAAGCAAATATGCAAATTACAAGATTCAAACAAGCTAGCCAAAATGCAAGCAGCAGTTGCCGGGCAACGCCGGGTCACAATTTCGCAATCGAAATTAAATAAAATGAAATGTTAACAATAAAAATTAAAAAAAATTGCAGCGAAATTCCGGCGGGACAGCTGCAAATGCAATCAAGTGAATGCGCAACTGTAAGCCAAATGCAGTGACTTTAAAACTGTAGAATGTTGAATTTATTATTGAACTGCAATTGGGTATTCAGCAAAGGTAACTGAAAGCCAATGACTCCCAAACTGTACGTCTGTGTAAGCTTCGCGCTGCAATTAGTCATTCTGCAAAGGGTAAACTCACAAGGTCAAACGCCCTCAAACTGTACGTTTGAGTTGCGATTTATTGATTCATTGATTTCTGAGGCAGTCAGCAGCAATTTATCATAAATGCTTACTCTAAGGCAGTGGCTCTCGAACTGTAGGCAAGCGTCAAACCGATTATCCGGTGGCAGACTACAGTGACACTCAAACTGTGGCTGTTTAGCTTAAGCAAAGACTTGCAGGCAATGACTCTCACACTGTAACACGAAGGCAGTGGCTTTAAAACTGTGAACACATTTTATTTTGGATTTATCAATTTTCGGGTAATCAGCTTTTCTGAGTCACTATGACAAGGTTAATCAATTAAGGGGCTCTAAAACTGTGCACAGTGACAGTCAAACTGTGATGTTCTATTTGTAGAATGCGTTGATATACGTTGTTTCGTTAGATTAGCTTCGAAGCAAGCTGCCATTAGTCAGCTCTGATAAGGTAGCTCGAAGACAATGACTCTAAAACTGTAATCGAAGCTGTTAACAAAGCACACTGCCTCTCAAACTGTGCTCGCATTGCTTAAGAACAGACTCGACGCTCTGCGAAGTCTGCGATTTATAGCTTCATATATTTGAATAGTTAAATTAAGTCAGATCCAGAGATCTGATTACAATTTGGATAAAAGTCTTGTGTAATCTTCGTGTCTAATTGGTTGCACAATAAAAGTACAGTCTATTAGTCTACGATTTGTGAGACCTTCTATATCTCTACTATACCCTCTGCCATACAGTTGTCTGATGGCCTTGAGGGCCACCTGTTACTTTAGTTCAACTTTGACAGTCTGTAAAATATTTAAAGCTAAGATCAAGTTGAGAAATGTTGAGACTTGATTTCTAAATCAATCAAATATTTTCGTGCCAAAACAGACAAAAAATGTAATTCGATTGATTGGCAAATAAAGAACTTAAACAGATATTGGTTTGACGACGTGTGAAGCACTCGGAGAAAGAGACGCTGAATGTGCGATGTGTATGTATAGTACAGGGTATCAGCTAGTCGATACTTTACTTTTACAGTACAAATGACAATAAAATGCTTGTAATTCGCAACTCGTTCGAGCAGGGGTCAATTAACTTAATTTGTTATACTTAAAGCAAACACAATGCTTGGCATTCAGCTCGTGTTTATAAGGAAGTGTGTGATAAGAGCTGTGACGTGTGCTAATTGAGTTGTGTTTACAACTCTCGGGGAATCGCTTAATGCCTTAGCACATGCAATTGCATTTAGTTGCGTATTAAAAACCTTTTCCTCTCTCTCTCTCTCTCTCCCTGCAGATCATCATGTGCACTTTGATGCGACGACCCTGAAGACTGACGACTTCGGCTCGGATAGCTGCGTGACGTATCAGCGATCGGGCGATACGATTGCCGTCAGTCTGGGCTTTCTGCAGATCAACCATCGCTATCTGATTGATCTGAATCTGCCCGTCACGCTGTTTGGCAACACGGGAGCACCGGGCACCAAGTTTGTGCCAGTTGTGAGCGCCACACCGAATCTGCACTGCAGGATCACGGAGTTCACGGGCACCAAGCATGACGAGCACGATTTCTATGAGATGAAGATCGAGTTCTTTGCCTACAAGGAGAAGCTGCTGCGCGAGGTCCTGCACATTGTCAACTCGAACAATGCCAAGGAGCTGCTGCAGCTGGTGATTGCGGCGCGTGTCCTGGGCAAGGGCAAAGGCACGCCGATGCTGCGAACCGGCATCCATTGCATAGGCGTCGAACGGGACGACGACGACTCAGAATCCTCCGATTTTGCGGGCTTCGACAAGCCCTAAACGCCGTTGGACTTTAAGCTGGCTTTTAGTTTCTGGTTTCTTAGTTATGTGCAGTTATTTGCATAGTATTTAAGTCAAAAATATATAGAAAACATAATCAATAATGTTAACTTATGAGCCATGTGCGAGCGAGCATGTTACACCCTGCAAACTTCGACCGAAAATTGTATTCCAATTTGATTGTCCAAACATTTGTCAATTGCCAAATCGTGTATTAATCTCCCAATATTGATTGACATAACATGTTTCTGCAACGATTTGTAAAGTGTTTTGTTTCACACCTGCTGACAGCATGTCTGTTGTACTAGAATTTACACTTGCCTCCGACATGCTATGTACTTATAGAGTATCTGAAATGCAAATTATTTGCTCGCTAGTTGTAGCTGAAAGTGTGTCACAAATATTATGCTAATTCTCATTAAAAGAGAGTTTGAATTCAAGAATTTCTTATGCTAACTTCTTACTTATTAAATCAGTAATGCCAAGCTCTTCAGCTCGAACTACTTACACATTTGTATATTGTACATTCAAAGTATTTTTGCATTTCTGTTAAAATTTTGAAAATTGTTAAAAAAATATATATATATAAAAATATATATATAATAGTAATTAATGCACCTCCTAACTCAACTCAATGACCAAATTTGCAAGCCTTTATTTTGATAACATTTAATATAGTATTTAAAAACGTGTATAGAACTAATGCTCAGATCAAAGAATATTTAACAGTGCGTTAACAGCAGACATGTAATTGTAAATGTAATTGAATATTTAACAGTCGTTTAACATTGCTCTTCTCAAAATCAATTTTAAGGTGCTCTACTTTTATATGTATTGTAAATGTTTATAACTCAATCAATCAATCAATCAATGGGGCATTTGTTTTTTATTACAAATTACAAATTATGAAAAGCAATTTTTTCAAAAAAATAAGAAGATTATATAATATATACACGCATGTATTTGAAAAGTTTATTAAATTGATTGTATATTGAATAATATAGCTATTTATATATATTATAATAAATCGGAACAGTCAAACCAAGCAGGCCACATTTTGTTAATCTAGACTGGGCATACGGACTTGTTGTCAGTCCACAAATGAAGTTTACTAATGAAAATTCTAGTTAATAAAAAACCAACTGACACAAGCACAGGCTCGACACACACGACACTCTATATAGATATATTTTTATAGATTTATATTTATTTATCTACAAATTGAATCATGGTGCAAAGAAAATGCAAGAGAAGCGTTAAGGCAAAGGCGCACCGAATAGCCAAGCGCATCAAATTGGAAGAGGTTGAGGGACAGGTGAATCTGCTGGACTTACCCCTTGGTCCACTGCACATGATCATACTAAAGGTGCATCCGGAAAAGCAACAGTTCCTGCGCTCTGCATCCAATAAGCTGAAGATCGAGCACTCCGATTGCATGCTGCACAGCTTCAAGTTATTTGCCAATGATCATCTGCGCGAACGGCATCGCAGCGTCGAACAGCAAATGATACACAATGTGATGACGGTGAGTGTGTTGACTGATAGCTGAGCATAGAGATTTGAGCTAATTGCAATTCTCTGTTTCCAGGTGCTGACACAGTCGACGGATTATTTCGTCAACTCCGGCTACGATGCGATATTTACGGGCAGGCTGATTTACTTCTATAAGCAGCTGGCAACTGGCGAGGAGGACTTAGACATAGCACAGATGCACAAATTTCTGCACGAGTTCTACAATAATCTGGAAAGGACACCGGTCGAGCGGCCCAGTGAAGCTGCGGCGCGCATAAGTCTCAATCAGCGTCGCTTGATAGGCACGATGACATTGTTGAATCTGCTCAGAGTGGGTGAATTATGTTCTCTCTCTCTCCCTGTATGCCACATATATTTATACAACTTTTCATATCTTAGCAATTTCGCAACTATCGCATTGTTAGCTCCTGCATGAATCTGATGCATTGGCAACTACAATTCGAGCTGACAGGCATTTATTTTGGCGTACGCGAGAGGGAGGCCAATACACGCGATCAAGACAAACTGGTGGACTTCTTGACCATTATAGCTGAGCTGCTTGTCTTTGACAAGTCGCAAATATATGAAAAGTAGGTTGACAGCAGACATTAAGTTACTTCATATTTGAAATTGAGCTAACTTTGTGCTTCATGTGCCCCACAGACGCTACACGGAAATTGGCAACAGCTTCTACGTCTATGGCATAAAGAAGCCTTCAACATTGTCGGCGCGCAGTCCGAAGCTGACGCTCAAGCTGAGCATCCTGGCGCCGTTATCCGTGCGTAGCATGATCGAGGATGTGCTCAATGGCCAGGTGGACATGGGTAGGCCTGTCCACTGTCCACTCGTGGATACGTTCAGCATTCAACTGGACGTGGTGAGCCGACAGGTCAGCTTGTGGAACGGCAACAACCACATGGAGATCTGCATAGCGCCGCTTAACTAGCTCAACGATAATATATATTTTTTTTACCACATTCACACATGCCTGTGGAAGCATACGTCATGTGTGCATCTATTTTTGTTTTATGTGAATAAACTCTATTGAAAGTGCTCACACAAAGAGCATATAACATGCAAACTGCAACAAGAACTCAACTTTTGTGAGTCATTCCGTGCTCATTTTATTTCGCGTATCGTTCTCTCACGGGCAACCGTCTTATCAATTTCGTCATGTATAATTGCTAGCCGAAGACGAAAGCCGGCTCTCGGAAGTCAGTCGGAAACTGCTGCTCTGCTCTGCTGCTCAGTCGCAAATCAATCGCGTGCTTGATTGGACCGATCTTAAGCATTAATCTTGGCTGTCAGCAATGGAACAATGGAATCTGAGACTAGTTGCCGCGTTCAGCATTATTGTCATGGCTTTTGCCGTTTGGGCATTGATTTGGGTTAGTTGACATTCCAATCGAAGGGAAGAGTTATGTAAATGATTTGATCTTCGTTCGCAGGGCTATTTACATGACAAGCATGAGAAGTGATCGCCTTACCATGTGAACATCCATGATGCACTCAAATAAAATATTATTTTGAACAAATTGTGTCGCATTTTTTATAGCCGATTTGATCTATTAGCGGAGAGTGAATAATAGCATATGACTTGACGTTAAGCAGATGTTTACCTGGCTGCAAAGTAGCGAAATAATAATGTAACTGCTTCAATTTCAAATGCGAACTATTCGCTGATTCGCTTGTTGTGCCCATCACCAGTTTCGAACGTTTTAAATATGCAATGTCAAATGCTACATCCGTTACACACACACACACACAGATGACGCGATATTTGTTGCAAAATTATTGCCGGTCGATCGGCTACTTACTGAGGTTGATCAGCTGATAACAGTCGCATCATAAAACAATTGCGCGCAAAGAGGATGACCGATTAGTCAGAAAGTTGTCTTGTTTGTGTACGATTGTCTGATAAGATAAGATTTACGATCAAACTAACTAAATAATTATCGATATTTTCGGTGTACTTTCTTAATAAATATATAAAGTAAAGATGAAGATAAAAAATAAAAAAGTAAAAGGCTCTAGTCGAAAGATTCCCGACTCTGAGATCCCCTGCAATCATTGTATATATCAGAAAGCCAAGCTGAATCAATTTAGTGTGGAATGCGTCTATCTTAGCATGTATAAAAGCTAATAAATAATCGATAACTGCCCCCGCTTTATGGTTATCGATTAAAAACACGATAGAAATGCAGTTATTAATTTAGATTACATACATCTTTGGAGCTAGAGTCTCCAAATTTTGCTTGCAGTTTCATGAATATTTTTTATAATTTCGGGTTTCATTTAATTTTTAATACGAGCTTCTAATTACACCTATATTATTTAAATTTCAGCAGTCATTTAGCAACTTAGTCAAAGTATCGATATATATTGATAGTGCAGGAATGCAATGAGTTATCGAAACTATGATAAATTTGTATTGCGCTTGGTACACAACCTAAAATCTCTGGCTGCTACGAACGAACACACGGATATGACTAGGTCGACTCAGCTCGTGATTCTGATCGTCGGCAATGCCTACGTCGTAGCTGTCTGTGATGCTGTTTGGCTGTGGCTCTGTTGGGGCTGGAAGACAGCAAGTGGGCGGCTTTGCAACCTGCCAACCACATCCGACTTTCATGACTTGGCGCTTAAATGATAATTAAACTGCGTCAATACGTGTGCAGTCGAGGAGAAGCGAGTCGAGTCGAGTCCAGTCGAGGCGAGTCGTGTCGGGTCTGGTACATGCAACAATGAGAGCAATAACAGCTATTAATAAATATGCTCAATCAATGCGCTGCGTTGACCTGCAGCAACAGCAAAAATAACCACGTTGATGACAACAACAACGAGAAAAGCTTGGCGCGTGAAAATATTTGCTTAATTAAAGTAATTATGGTTTCATATATCATTCGGGCAGCAATGCGCCCACAGTCGCTGGACCAGGTCCATTCGTAATTACCTTTTGCAATAAATTATGCATTTATTATACCATTGAAAAATGTTTCAGCTGCCAGAGAGGGAGGCGACATGTCGGCGCATTAAGTATAGTGTAAATACATATATATATAACTGTTCAACGGTTGAGTGGATCTACTGTCCGCACTTCTGGCTGTCGGCATAACTTTTACGCGTTCAAATAGTATTTGATCTTTATAAGAAATATATAATCGAATAGCATTCAATTGTTGAGATAACTGTGGCAAGAGTTCGTTGTGATTTCGTCAGCTTTTATTGAACTTCAAATGATTGCAAGTTGCATAACTTTGTTAAGATCTTCATGTGAGGCAGCTTTAAAAGCTGCTTCAATGCTCTGCTGATAAGCTGCATTCTAGGTTTCATGGTAGTAGTCTTATTGTATATTCAAATTTCTTATAATATATTTAAAATTCGTACTGAAATTAGTCAATTTTGACTACAATTTTCTTATACAACTTTATCAAGCTTCTGCGAATGTCTGCTACAGTTTAAAGCGAGAGATTTTGATCAACTTCTATCAAATGTGCTTTGCCATATCTAACTCTTAATGACTGCAGCTCCAACTAATTCTAACTCTATAACTAACCCCTATAACTATAACTAAAAGTCAGCTAGTAACGTACATGACAAGTCCAGACATTGGGCCAAAGCTGAAGTCATTTTGTTATGAAAAGTTTAGGAGATTTAAATTTGTTTGTGCTGTGCTCAGCTCTGTCAACTGATGCTCAGTTATAAGCTTTAAAAATTTGCTTTTACAAAAGATATAGAAATAAGTGGAATAAGCATAAGTAAGAAGAGTAGAGTATTAGCAGTTCGTTGTGGCAGCTGCTGCTCAGTCGCTCGCTATTTAGATACCAAATTCTATCAAGCGTGTGTCAATCACACACACATACACCTACTCACGCACAGACAATCACACACACACACACACACACACAGGCACTCACCCTCACACAGTGCTTTGCAGAGCTAAAGCTTGCTTTTTTTCTTGTTTCTGTTTTGGCGTTTGTAGTTCTATTTGAATATTTGTTTTGGCTGAAAACTAGTCGGGTCCAAGCTTGAACGAAATGAGCAGAATACACATAATAAAAATATAAAATAAAAAGTAAAGAGACAAAAGAGACAACAGCAGCAGCAGCAGCAGCAGCAACGATTACAAATGTGACAAGAGAATCCAACACCGAAATGAATAATGTAAATACGCCAAGTGTACAAAGTTTTAATTGTTATCATGTTTTGTCTGAGCGCTGTTTCCTCATGTGTGCGACAGTATGCGTGTGTGTGTGTGTGGCATGCACTTATAGCCAAGATGTATCCATTTACGCCTGGCTAAGTTTTACGTCGCGTATACGACACATGCCCCACTCAGCTCGAAGCGTGTCTCTGTGACTATTGTGCGTGTGTGTGTGCGTGTGTGTGTGTGCAGCTGTGGTGTCTTTTGTGTATGCATAGCTATGGATTTGGTCTCAGCAAAAGTTTTTTCATTTTGCATATATGCACAATATGCCTTAAAGCTGCACTTTCCCTGGGCTCTCGAAATACAAGTCTGAGGAGCTAAGCAGAAAACCCTTTCAAATGTGTTTTAATAAAATAAATGTAGGGGCTAATATTCTAAACAAATAAATGTCTAGTATTTTTCTAGAAATTATTTTTTCTATTTTACTGTTTTATGATTGTCTTTGCAAGTTTTTGTTCAATAACTTCTGAGATACTTAACGGATTTTAATAAACTTTACAGCGTATAATCTACATATTCTGTTGAAATATTTGACAGCCTAGTTTAAAACAAGCTCTTTCACATATTGGCTCTATTTTCAACTGAAATAAATTTAAGGAATTTGCATAAATTTGTAGCTGATATCCAAAATTGAATGAAAATTAAAATTGTAAAAAATAAACATGAAACTACATGCAAAATGTGTAGACTCTAGCTCCAAAGATGTGTGGGATATAATTTAGTAAATGCATTTCGATCAAGTTTTTAATCGATAACAATAAAAAGGTAAGAGTTATCGATTATTTTAAAGATATGCGCGTGCCATACACCGGATCTATAAAAGTCTCTAGCTCGTATAGATGCTGAGATCGACGAGTTCACACAGTCCTAAATCTACTCGACTTTTCGTTCTCATCAAGAATATATATACTTTAAGGGGTCTGCCACGCCTTCTTTTGCCTGTTATATAAATCTGAGTAAAAACATTTTAAGTTGAGTTGCCATTTGCAATGTGTTCAAGGTGTAATAATTATAATTATTAATATTACAAATTTTATTATAAATAAACAAATTTTAAGCTACTCAAGTGATTAGATATGGCAAGAGATAGAGAGAGAGAGAGAGAGAGCAGAGAAGATAGGCAAAGTCAAGTCAAAGCAAGTCTTATTTTCTCCACTTTAGTCGCATTTGATTTATTTTTAATTCATCAAAATTCCATATCTGCTGAAACACAAACTTTTGAAACACAAACCATTTATATTATTTATCAAATTTATCGCCGTTCAAATCTTTGTTCAAATCTTCGTTTAACAGAAAACCAAATTCAACTGCAAAATTCACAATTATTTTCAACAATTGAAGTTAAATGTTAAATTTTTATTGAATGCTTGAGAAATTTAAATGGAAAATCGTTTATAAAATATCTCAATTTGCTTTAAAAGCGTAAAACTTTGTGTGCAGTTGATTTGCATAGCCAGCCAAACATATTTATTTTGATTTTCATTTTATTTTTATGCTTTGTTGTGCGTGTGTGTGTGTGTGTGTGTGGAAGAAGTCAGCCTTAAGCACAGCTCTCAAGCATGCAAATCCAGAATATTTGTGGCTCACAGTATTTATTTGGCACAAATTTTAAGTGATTTATGCTCGCCTCAATTGCCCCACAGCTTCAACCGCATAAACCACTGAAAAATACGTATACGCAGTGTGGCACAACAAGATACAGCACACACACGCACGCTTGGACACGCGCATTGCATATGGATATGCATATTTATTTGGCAGGACTTTACTTATGCTACATTTTATGGCAGTGTTTGTTTACCCAACTTCAGCTGCAGACGCTCCAAGAACACGAAGTCCAGTCCTATAGATTTGTTAGCCTTGCATGCAGCCAGCATGTATGTGTATGCATTTATTTGGCCTGATGTGTTTGGTGTTTGCTCACACTTATTTATTTGATAATAATTTCAAGATTCTCTTCCAAAAACAAACTAATTTCGTGCAAACTCTCTTTCGGCCAGCATAAATAATGAAAATGTCATAACACAACTCCAGCGGCGTATATCGTCTCGTATCATATCTTGCTTTGCTAGCTGCACAAGAAGATGCTCGCATTGTGGCACAATGTTTATGCAAATGACATTTGCTGCCCGCCGCACTGATTACGCATGCAGCCCCAGCCCCAGCCCCAGCCACAGCTCTAGCTCAAGCAACGTTTCTGCATCGAGTGCAATATAAATATTTTACATAGATTTTACATAGCTGATTGAAGTCGTGCGCATATGCTAAGCCCGCAGCTACAGCTGCCCTGCCCTGTGCTGGGCCTGGCATCGTGTTGCTGCCTTCAAATTATCCAGCAACGAAATCAAATCAAATCAATTGCAAAGTGCGCCCCAAACTATGCTACAGTTTCCTACGTTTGCCAGCATTTGCATATGCTCGTAAGCCTAATTGAAGCGCCAGCGTTGCCACCCTGCTTAACACATCTGCTACTCACTCGCTGTCTCCCTATCTCTCTATCTCTCTGTCTCCCTCACTCTGCCCTGCTTACTGCAATTAATTGCTAATTTAGAGCGTGCCTGTTAAAAATTTACCATTATTTATGATTATTTGTTTATTGCTTGCGGGTCTGTTCTTCTATCTACCTGACGGCATTCACACCACAATACATACACACACACACACACGCGCTAGCCGCCACAACGCCCGCACAACACATGCAAAAAAACAAGAAAAAAACGCCGCCAGCAGCTTTTGGTTGCAATTTTGTGGCGTTTCGCTGGGCGATAAAGTAATCGACGCTATTCGAGCTTATGGCGCGAAACACACACTCACACACACACACACACACACTCACACATATTGTGAACTGTTTACGACTAGCATTAAATCGCTTTACTTTATGCACAAGTTCATTAAAGCATAAACTTTATTGTACTGTTAAGTGTTAAAAATAATTTTAGTTTATTTTTAATGTGATTATTGTTGCAGTGTTTAAAGTACAACAGAATGAACTAGCTCATAAAACAACTAATTGTTATTGAAATGTGCAAAATATGTGCATATTTTATAGCATTTTTATGATAAGTATTATTTAAAATTTCATTAGCATTAACGTCCATTAGCCAAAGCCTGCAAATAGATAGAGTTGAGTGCTCTCGGAACTTTTGAATTCCACTCAATATTGTGTCAACAAGTGAACCAGTTATAGCATGAACTGGTTCAGTTCATTTGAATGTATATCATGTCAACTAAATATAGCTTAAAGTAGTTTCTTTCCAAATGGAACTAGCTAAAGTAGGAACTGGTTCAGTTCATCATAAAAAAAACTAGTTCAACTGTAGCAATTAAATTTCAAAATTTCTTGTGTTCATTTTAAGAACTGGTTCAGTTCAGCTAAGTTGTAAGTCAGTGTCAACTTGTACCAGTTCATTTGAAAATGGAACTAGCTTAGTTAAGAACTGCTTTCGTCTAGATCAGCTCAATTTGATCACAGAGAAGAATAACTGATTCCGTTCATTACGCTTCATGCTACAGAGACTAGTTCAACTTTGGCCTGAACTAAAGTCTAAAGCTTAAGCAAGCTAATTAGCCTAGGCAACAACTAGTTCAGTTCATTTCAGTTAAATTGAGCTAGCTCAACTTTAGGCAGTTCCCAGTTTAAATGAGATGCAAAACTGCTGCAATATTGAGTGAAACTACAATAATATAACTTGCAGGCACAACAAGCTGTAAACAGCTTGAAGGCTCGTTCAATCTATTGAACTGGAACCAGTTCCGCTGCCAGAGACACAGTTAAAACTCTTTCTATCTCTCTCGCTCTCTCTCTCTCTCTGTTCCAACGTGCCGAAGGGATAAGGCGTCATTTAGTCTGAGGTTAGATTCACGTACGTTTCACAGGTTTTTTTCCTACCTACACACACACACGCATATATATATTTATATCTGTGTGTGTCTGTGTGCATAATACATATATAAACACATCTATTTAGTTGTTTTTCCGCTCGTTTTTCGCTTCGTTTTCATATTCTTGCTTCTATTTTTTTAACGCGTTGTTTCGCTAACGTTGCTCGCGTTGTTGCGGTTGCAGCACGTCCGTACGTGTTTATGGCGCGCATATCCGCAAATATGCAATCAGACTATAATCTACTTAATGTCTTTTTCCAGCAACCACAACAACACGAACAGGCGCAGCAGCAGCAGCAGCAGCAGCAGCATAAAAAGCAAAGAAAAATGCGCATGGAAAATGAAGTAATGCAGTTGGTCGAAAATGCTAGCTAACAGCCTACGAGGCGTGTGTGTAATGTGTGTGTGGGTGTGTGTGTGTATGAGTGTGTGTCTTGAAACGGCACGGACATGGCACATTAACGGAAATTAGGCAGTCATTTTCGTAGCAAATTTTGAAAAGTGCGTATTTTTTATGTTTGACTGTTAAATTTTTTTCTGCTGCTTTTTGTTGCCTACTTTTTTGGGCCGCAGCGAAGCGCGCAGCGCTTTGAAGTTAGCACATTTTGGCTTTTAGCTAATTTTTAAAGACACGAAGCAGCAGCAGCAGCAGAACAACAACAACGTTGCGTCTGGCAACAAAGCGTGGCAAAAGTGGAAAAAGACGCTGCAAAAATATTTTGCCTGTAGAGAACATTAGATATTGTTTTTGAGCTGCAGACATGGCGTTTTAGTTTTTAGCAGTTGTTCTCTGTTTTGTCCTCAGCCTGACAGCAGCAAGCAGCAACAGCAACAGCAACAGCAACAACGACAACGACCAGGACAACGATGACTCGCTGGCTGTGTGTTATTATTGTTATTGTTGTTGCTTGTTGCTGGACTCACAATGCGGCCATAAAAAGCAGCGCGTTTGCTGAAGTCGAAGTGCGGCGCTGCAACAAAAGGAGGCGCCTGCACAGCAGAACAATTGAAACAATAAAACGGCTTTAAGGAGCAACTCTATGCTGGACAAGGGTGGGCAGCGTAGGCAGGTGGGGCTGCAGGCGTAGCTAGCAGCAGCTGTGGAGTGAGTGTGTGTAAGCTGTCTGCAGCTATTTAGAGTTGGTAAAGCTGTTGCTTTAAAAGATATAGCAGTTGAAACTATGTATTCAATGAACTTATCGAAAAGTGTTATCGTTATCGATAAGCTCAAAACTGCAATGATATAACTAAAGAGCGAAAGTTGACAAATGAGAAATAAGAGCGAAGCCCAGAGTTGATCAACATTAAAAGTTGCCATTGAAACCGATAAATTTATCGAAAATTGATATGATCTGTGTGCTATCAGTCAACTGTAGCCGATAGTAACACAAGAAACAAAGATGAACAGAGCTATTCAAAAGACATTTTTATCGAAATTTAACAATCGATAATTCTATCGAAAATCGTTAGCCTACACTACATTATATCGCAAAGTAGAGCCAGTTAGAGCACAACTCTACCTAATTCAGGTTCAGTTCAGCCTCTTTTTCAAAAGAATTCAAATTTGAAATCAAGTAATCGATAATTATCGAAAATCTTTATCTTCAAAGGCAATAAATTTGAATGGGCTAAAAGGATATAAATAGAATGAGCAAGCCTTGTGGATAAAAGTAATTAAAGTTCATGTAAAAATCGATAAGTCAAAGTATAGTTATCGATATTTTTACTAAGCTGCGCACTGAACACAGTTTATAGACATGTAGAAAGAATATGCTATTAAGCTACTATTTTCACCGTCTCCAATTGATATCGTTATCGTTATCGCTATTGCTGACGATTTTACCTGTGGATAGACATTTTCCAAGTCCCCGAAGTATCCCTTTTAAAGAATTTGCTTTATTGGGGGACTTAGTTAAACAAAATCGGATTTGCAAATGACGTAAAAATCGATATCGGTATCGATATCGCAATTGTTATCGTTATCGCTATCGCTAATATGGTTTGCATTCACTGCGCACTAAACAAGCCCTTGACCGTGGCATCGGTCGTGTCGATTGGCAGCTTGTAATAGCCGTCGCGGCGCAGCGCGCGCTCCTCATCGTCGGCAACGCCATAAATATCCTCGATGGGCTGCATGATCTCGGACTCGTTTGGCAGCAACAATTTGCGCGCATCCTTGCGGAACACAGCCACCGCCTTGACCATGCTGTGATGGGCGCGTGTAAAATGCTGTAGGCTGAGTGTCTTGCGCTTCGCGGCCAGCTTGCTCTGGATGCGATCGAGTCGCGCAATCAGACGCAGCAGTATGAAACGGGCAAAGCGATCTTTGATCTCGAGCAATGTCAGTTCCGTGTCACGCTGGCCCAACGGTCGCATGTAAGCGGCAATGATGAAGCCCACGAAGACGATGTTGATCAGCAGAATGGTGAGCAGGACGATCAGTTGAAAGATGTCTACATCCGTGGAGCAGCACGCCTCGGTCAGCTGCTTCCAGGACATCAGATCGTAGTCGTGCACCTTCCATTCATAGTGCAGGTAGGCTGTCAGCAGGGCCACCAAGCAGCTGCATAAGGATATGAAAGGATAATTGTGATAAAAGAACTCATTGAGGGATGTACGCAAGCTGCGCAATAGATTCATTTTTCAGCTATGGCGGCGGCTATTGTCGAGTGGATCGGACAATTCCGATTTTGTTTAATTGTTATATTTCCTAATTTCCTTTCGAATTTTGAGCTGAACGTGCCGAAATGAGTTGTGATGTACGAGTTACTGAGTGGAAACGTCCTATGGCTTTGCCTGTGCGTGTGCGTGTGCGTGAGTGTGTGTGCGTGAGTGTGTGAGTGTGTTCGAGTGACAATTGGCGTATAAGAGTTTGCGACCCCTGCAACATGTTCGCTTGTGGATGGCGAACATGTTTGAGCGCAGGCTAGACACAACGCCCACAAATGCAACTGCAACTGCAACTGCAACATGTTTGACGCGGCTACAACTTGAGCTTGATTTTTGAGTGGCTTTTGTCTTTTTTTTGTGCTTTGCTTTGCCTCTGCTGCTGCTGCCCAACTTATTCAAGTTGCAAGTCTAACGTTAATTTTGGCCAATCGCGACAACTTTTGCCACACGATTCGGAGACGCTGATAAGGCAAATATAATAAAAAAAAATGAAGAAGCAAACGCGGCCATTTTGGCCGTCTTATCTGCGACTCCTGTTCAGTTTTGTCTGTCTGCTTTTTTTGCTGTTGCTGCAACTGCTCGTGGCAAGTGCATGCAAAACTGCATTTTGTACGACGAGTCCCAAAACTGGCAGCCAAAACGGAAATATTCAAAAATTTCGCGCGGGTGGAACTGCCAAAAGCGAGCAAGGCATGTGGGGCAGGCAGGCTGGCTGGTTGACTGGGTGAGTGGAGGTGGCGCTTGTGTGGCAGCTAGTGTTGCCGTGCTCCTCGTCTATGCGGCGCGCTAATAAAAACGTAAAATTTAATGGTTACGGAAGGCACTAAAAAACAGGCTCACCAAAAACGAACTAAAGTCGCGGCCAGCCGAGCGTCTGAAAAAACCGCCCACCCACCCTTCGACCAGCCGGCAGCCCGCACGCCCCGACCACCCGTCTCCCCCCGCGCGTGCCCCTTGGGGCGCTGTGGCGGCCGCTTGGGCGATAACCAAGCAACGAACCACAACCGCACACACTGAGCACAGGGCGAACTGTAACTACGCCAACGCCCTCGTCGCCCTCGTCGCCGCCGCCACCAACGACACCACCCAGCCAAGGACTTCGATGTAGACGCAGTGGAGCGCCCAGCCGAGCACGTCAAACGCAGACAACTTGAAAAATGTAGAGACAGCGCCGCAGTAGTTGAAACACGCCAAAAAATATGCAAAAGTAAAATAAAACAGACGCATTTGCCCCGTTACCAAAGACGGACAGACACGGGCTGGCGGACGGACGCAGAGGCCAGCCAGGACAGTCGGCACAGTCGGCACAGTCGACAGCGTTCGACATTTGACGTTATAGGTTTTTGGGTTCTGTTGTTTGGCAGCGGCTGCAGCAGCGATAGAGCCACTGCCCGACCCAGCGTCAGCAAAGCATTGCACAATATTTGCCCGCACTGCCGCTTGCCCCTGCAGCGTGCCCCAGCACAGCACAGCTGTATCTTTTTAAATTTTGTTTTTCAGCAAGTTTCCTTTTTGTGCTCAGCCGTTGTCCACTTGACAGCAACCAGCCGCTCGACCACAGCCGTCTCTGCCGTCTAGCTAAATACCCTGGAACCCCAAAGTGTGTTTGCATATTGAAACGAGACTGCATTGTGTAAGTAATTAAGGTACATTAAGTAAACTCTTGTAGCTTAGTAATACAAATTAAGTAGACAAGCTTGCTTCACTTAGATATAAAATTAGAGAGAGAGAGAGAGAGAGATAGAAAGGGAGACAGAGAGAGAGAGATACAGAAAGATACAGAGGCATACAGAGAACAAGGTCGAGATAGAAGGATAGGTAGAGAGAGAGAGAGAGAGAGAGAGAGAGAGAGATAGAGATAGAGTTAGAGATAGAGATAGAGATAGAGATAGAGACAGAGATAGAGATAGAGATAGAGATAGAGATAGAGATAGAGATAGAGATAGAGATAGAGATAGAGATAGAGATAGAGATAGACTGCGCTGGCAGCCAGCTTGAAATCTTGAGAATTGCATAGAAAGGCAGTTGAAGAACATTTTAAATTCGCATTGAATTATGCAGCTTAAAAATCGAACAAACTTTTTTAGTTTGCTTAAAACAATTAACACAGATTTATTATCTTTAGCCACACCAAAAATTTACGCAGAATTTAAACATTGTTTAAAAATATTTTGAAATAACTTGAAAAGTTTGGGAAATTGAATTATGCCAGGCAAACGTATAGCTGCCGCAGGATGCACCCAATATACCCTGTAAGTGTGGCCTTTGCCACTGCCAAAGGGCATTTGGGCAAATGCGAACTGCAGCAGCAGCAACAGCAGCAACAGAGGCAACAGCGGCACCAAGTTGAAAAGTCAGTTGTCGCAATGGCCGACAAAGTTATGTGGCCTGAATATCTGGCTATATAGTGCATATAGCGGCAGACGGCGGGGTGTCGAGGGGCAGGGGCAGGAGCTAACCCAATGGACAGCAATTTGTGCCGCTAAACGAACTGACAAAGCGACCGAAGTGGGCACCAGGATTGGGGCTTCAACGAGGGTATGGGCCATGGACCGTGGGCTGTTGTCTGCAACTGTAATTAGGTTTGTCCGCTTTGTGCAGGCGTCGAGCGGCACAGTTTCTAGTTACAGTAAAACAGTTACAAATGCAGCTGATGACGCTGCTGCGTCAGCCCAAAAGTATGCTGCAAATAATTCACAATCGCGCTGCTTTATTGCGTTTTGCAGCGCCGTGCCCAGCAGCGCCCGCAGCTCAGCCTCGACTCCAGCATCGGCTGTCGATGCGGAAATGTTTGCCTTGTTTACATCGCAGTGCATAAATTTGCAATCGCACGCACACGAATGCAGCGACGCGTGCTCCACGCAGAGGGGAGCTAGTGCGGCGGCCAGCTATATCTGCGCTTATTGTGCGCAATATATATTGACTCAATAGCTGTGCGCCTACAAATTAGTGTAGAGGCTCAGAGAGAGAGAGAGAGAGAGAGAGGGAGCGCAGTGAGTGAAGAAAAAAATCTGCATGCGCCGCCCCAACAAAGTCGGACAACAAATTTTGTAGCTAACAGCATTTTCAAGTTTTATCGTTACGTGTCTGCCTGGCTGTGTGTGTGTGTGTGTGTGTGTAGCCTTTGTGTCCTTGGCCCAGCCAGAATGGCACTTTTGCAGTTGAGGGTGTCTGTCTGCCATGCCACACACGCGCACAGTCCGACAGCTCGATCGCAGTTGCAGTCGCTGCCTTGTCTATTTAGCTGGCTGCATACAGAATGCACATAAATTGCCATGTTGCATGGTGCATGGTGCATGGTGCATGGTGCTTGGTGCCGCAGCAGCATATTTATATTGATTTTCGCGCCCGACGCACTGGCTGCGGGATTGGCCCTGGCTTTGCCAATGCCAGCCACGGCCGCTGGGTGCTCTGAGCTGGGCAGCCGACAGTTTGTTGTTATGTACTTTGGCTTTTCAATTTCGGTCCGCCGGAGACTCGTTGAAACGTATTATTTCAGTTTTTAATACACTCGCCAAAGGGTCTGGCCGCTTTATGGCAACAAATGTGCTCAAGGCTTGTAAGAAAAAAAAAAATTTAATTAAATTTTATTTTATTTATAAATACATATATTAACTTTATCAATATATGACTTGACATATCTGTTGGCTTTATGCTATTCCTTCTTTAACCTGCTCTTGCTTTGTTTGAACAGGTTAAATTAGACTAACTTAGCTTACCTTAAGATTCTCGCACAGGTGAGACATCTTTGAGATCATCTTAATATATAGAACTAGGCATGTCTTAGACTGTTTCTATATATATATTAGCTATATATAAGTCTTTCAGCTTTCAGTTTGACATCGTCGAATTACTTTTCTTCCGTGCTTCCTTCCTGGCTTCCTTCTTTCAGTTGAGGCATCAGTCGCCATATCATATAATAATCTGCCCTAGCAAATATGAATCGAAAATGATATATTAGTCTCATAAGCCAAAGCTTAAACGTACTTATTCAACTCTGCTTAACATAAATGTGTCTATAAATTGAGCTAAGCAAACGATGCCTTGCAGTTCGCTCAGACACAAAGGGCTAAGCTGCTATCTGCACCATAAAGCCGCATTAATCCCCTGCGTTAGGGCATTCGGAAGTCGGCAGAAATTTGCTTTTCTTGTTGTAGTCGAGCGCCGTTTTTGTTGTGCAGTGTTTTGTGGGTGCACAATAAATTGAGCCGAAATTGCATCAGCAAAATTAACAGTTTCGTGTGCGTTAATAGACTTTTCCATTGGCCAACGCAGACCGCAGAGCGCTGTTTAGCCGCTGCCGCCTGGGATCCACACCAAATCGCAGCTGAGCTGATGGAAGGGGGCGTCATCATTGACCATTTGGCTGTTAGGCGGGCGCTAAACTCATTTGACAAAGGAGAGCAGAGCGGGAGTGGGAGGCTGAGCTAAATACATTTTTGATAGCGTATAATCTATGTGCTTTTCGGTTTTGTGAAACATTTCCTCAATTATTTATAACAAAAGGGATTAAATTTTAAATATTCAGTGCATTTGAGTTGCCGTTGAGCTATTTACGCAGTTTAGTTTCTATTTATGGTGCCAGCAAGGCGCCTATTCTAATTGAAGACGCAACTATAATTTATTTAAATATTAAATAAGAAATTTAATTTAATTTATTTATTTTTTTTTTGGCCAGGACATTTGGGAAGTTAGTTTTATGTGGCTCTTATGCCCCGTTTAGGTGTTAAGTGAAATCTGAGCAGCGCCATAGTTGGGCTCGTAAATTGCTAATTTGCTTGCTGCCTCATTAGGCGGCAACAATTAGTTTTCGTCTGTCTGCCACAAGCTGAGCTAGTCCCTCTCCCTCTCTCTCTCTCTCTCTCTCTCGCACTGCATGGGCAATTAATCTGTGGGTGGCTGGGTTGATGGGTAAATTTCTAAAATTTTAATGTTGCAACGCTGAATGCGCAACGCTGCAACAATAAGCAAAACCACTTACTTAGTCACAGCAATGGCCAATTTCGCCTTGCTGCACAGCTGCCGCAAGCAAGCTTCAACTTCAAATATGCAAAATTTGTAATAATCTAGCAGCAGCGACAGGAAGAG